CAATATCCACCAATATTTATAAACAATTGTTTACACAACATACTCAATATTCGTTGGCCGGATACCACTAACTACAGCTACTGTGGGAGAGGACAAAGCATCTTCCAATTGAAGCGGAAATTAGGAAATAATGCTGGAGGTGGATAGGACATACATCGTGAAAATCATCAAACTGAATCTCGAGGTAAGCACTAACTTGGAATCCTGAAGAGGAACGGAAAAGTAGGAGACCAAATAACACACCGCTTTAGGAATTAGAAGCAGATATCAAGAGGATGAATAGTATCTGTAAAAAATTGCCCAGAACATAGTTGGATGGAGAATGCTGGTGAGCGACCTATACTCCTCGAGGAGCAGTAATAGGCGTAAGTAAATAATTAATGGTCACCATCATTAATTGTTATGATAATGAAAATGTTAACTTAGAAGTAATTGAAAAGTTAATACAAAACATGGTATCTGTTCATGAAGTTACTGGTTGTTAAGTTGGTTTGTATTAGAAGGTGATTAGTTTATAGTTGAATATATGATATATAAAAGTTATATTTGAAATTTCAATAGTTCCAATTGGTTCACATTTTAAGGAGAAGAAGCTTTGTATAGTTTACTGGGACTATCTGTCTGAACTTTTAGTGATTGTCGATTATACACTGTTGAACTGAATTAGAAGTTCTTCTTTATGAGTATTTTGATTTACAATAATGAATGTATCGTCAATGTAAATGTAGCATAGATCTAGTTTATTGATAACTTAATTAAAAAGTCAATTTTTTTAATGTTGTTAAGAAGAAAGTAGCTAAAATTGATCTCAAAAGTGATCTGATAACGATCCATTTCAATGTGTCTATACTAACTACTGTTGAAGGTGAAATAGACGTTCACAATATATCTTAGGAGTAATTCATTCAGACTATCGTTAGTAAATCCAATGTTGATTTGCTTTACTGAGATTTGCTTACTTATGAATTCGATTGTCTCGGCTAGTAATAAATAACAGTGTGTGCTATAATATTTCCATTTGATCTGAAGATTAAATCCTAGCTGATATACCTGAATATTTCGAGTTTGATCATTGGCAACGTTTTGGATGATACTACTGAGGAATGTAATGTAAGAACGAAAAAAACTGTCAAGTACTCTATACTTTTCAATAGTTGTTTGGTTAAAATGATTTCATAATGTAAATGACGTTTATATTTAAGTGTCTGTTATCATATCGAGCTATGTGTAATACTACTTACATACTTACGCCTGATACTCCCAATGGAGCATAAGCCGCCAACCAGTATTCTCCAATCCACTATGTTCTCAGCCTTCCTTTCTAGTTCTATACAATTGTTGTTCATTCTTCTAATGTCTGTCTCCGCCTGGAGCTCCTCTCAGGGTACTGCCGGCCCCAAGCCTGGATAAAGGGGAAGGGTTGGGGATGGGGTTAGTGACTCCATCTTGTGGAGAACTAACTCGCTAAAAATACGCTAACCATAAAAATTAATTCAAACCATTTAAACTCTACCATGGGAGTTAGAAGGTCTTCATTTAGAAGAGTTATGACACCTCATGATGAAAGCTAAGTTCCTTCGGAAGTCACAAGGCTGATTTCCCTTCTAACAACCAGAGCAATAATTAATTTAGGTACATAGAATATTCGTACATTGTGGAAGACCGGAAGAGTCATCCAAATTCCTGCAGAAATGAAAAGATACAATCTGGAGGTGTTTGGAATCAGTGAAACTCATTGAACGCAGGTTGGACAACAAAAACTAGCTTCAGGAGAACTGCCGGCATCATCCAGCTATGAATAATGTCTGTAGTGTAACCAAACCTTATCATCTCGTACAAATTATCTCTCTATCTAGTCTTTTTATCTAACCGCCTTTTTCCCCTCAATTTAAAATGATTAACTGAATAGAAATATAAAAGTAAACAGTACTTTCTCCAATATTGAATACTTTCCATTAGACAATTTCCAAATATACATACCTGGGTGTGTATCATTTAATAAGAGATAAGAATATATGAGGAAGGGTATTAGATGGTGGATGAGATGGCACTCGTCACCAGTCACCTAGACTGGTGACCAAATTGCAACTTGATTGATAGCATTTGATATGCACTAATAAGGACTTGAAGCACATGAAATTGATTACCACCCAGTGACTAATCAATTGTGATTAAATTTCAGTCCTATAGAAGGCCCGGATAGCTCAGTGGTAACGTCTCTGACTGTGAAGCTGAGTGACACGGGATTGAATCCGTCAGGGAGCACCAGTTCTCTGAAGGTTACAGGTACACCTTGCTGACGAGTGCCAAGTTGCATGAAACCCGTGTCCACGGTTCCTGTTGACTACTTCCAACCACCATCTAAATCTCAATTTGTGTTTTAATAAAATCAATTCATTGAAGTAGTTACATTTTATGATTGGTAGTTGTGATACATTCGATTGTATTGAATCGGCTTTAAGTATTTATTATGATGAAATGAAAGCATGAATATGTATAGCATTTCTTTGAATCGTCCGAAGTGAATTGGTTAGATGGATGTTAGATCACTATTAGAAACTTGGAAGAACTACTAGTAGAATTCAATCTCAACAATCATCCATTGTCATTACCATTATCCAAAATATATTGAGTAAGTGTTTTCCAGTGATCAACAATTTCCATTCATCAGCAATCATGAATAGTTTCTACTTGTTCCATTCATACAACTATATTCACTTCTATTCATTGAATATAAAAGAGAGTAATTTCTATTTAGTTGTTTATGTTTTCCCCAAAAGACTGATAAGGAAAGAACTATGTAAACAATTGTGATGTTCCTATTTCAGTGGTCTAATAGTTAAGCGCTCGCGCGTGTGACTGATAGGTACTGAGTTCGAATCTCGCAAGGCGGGATTGTTGATGAGCACTGCTGAGGAATCCCAAAATAGGACGAAACGGTCGTCCAGTGCTTCCAGGTTTTCCATAGTGGTCTCATGATCTCAACCATTGAAATTACTACAATATCCACAAAACCCTTTTTGATATTTAAGATTTGTACTATGTAGTGTTCTGATAGTTTGTAAGTGTTTTGGTAATGGTGCATGAGTATAGAGAGTTAGTTAAACAAATTTAGGGTAGGTTGATTTAATGAAATGCTCACATAGTTGAGAAAAACGTGATCCAACTGTTGAATAGGCAGTTCATTAAATTTGACTGAAATAATTTTTGATTAAGGGGATAAGTCTTCATTTCTAGTAAGCATAGTTTAACGAACAAGAACTTTATGAAGTGTGGACATTTTCTGGTCACTTCTATGCCTTTTTCTAATCTGTTATTATGACGTCTAGGATGGAACGTGGACTATTATACTCCGGTTAACTGATTGACCGTCTTTATTTCATACTTAAATATTATAGTTATACACTCTTGTTGAGTCGTGAGATCATCTCACCAGCTCTTTAGTTAATATCAGTCATTGATAGATATCTTATTTACCTACATATGCCTGTTACTCCTCATGGAGGAGCGTAGACCACCCACCATCACTCTCCATCCAACCCTGTCCTGGGTGATAGATATCCGAATACATTTTATTCATTTGATCAATAGTTTGTCTAGTCATCATAATTCTTAGTTTTTTTTTTCAAGTTATCATTCTGTTGACGTCGCTATCATTAAACTTGGCAGTGATTTAATTATGGAAATTTCATTGTCTTTTTAAACAATGTCATCAGTACAACTCTAATCAAGAAATCATTCAAATGACAAAATGATCAAAAATGAAATATAAACTAATATTCCAACGATATAAGGTGATCAAAACACAAATAGTTGCATTGCTTATAAAAGTTGTGACTTAAGGCAATATCGAAGCAATCCTCACAGAAAGCATATATGCCAATAATAGACTAATCAATTTCAGTGTTAAATAACAATGGGAAGATACAAGTAAAACAACACCAAGTGGATTTAAACTTCACTCCATTGCACAAATAAATGGCTTTCAGAACTCAGTAGATAAGTGGATAATGTGATGGTATTTGAAACGAACGACAGTGGCTTCGAATCCCAGAGTGAACATCAACTCTGAGATACATGTACATCCAGCTGATGAGTGTCAAATAGGACGAAACGTGTGTCAAACTAGTTTCCACTGCTAGCCACTATCCATCTTTGTTTATAAAGCTTGTGACTTAAGGCAATATCAAGGCAGTCCGCACAGGATGCACATATACCAATAAGAGACTGTCAATTGCAGCCCTTAACAACAATAAGAAGTTTCAAGCGAATAATACCAAGTGAATTTAATTGCATTGTTCGTTTATTTAAACACTTTCTAATAAGGAAAGAAGAGGGAGAATAAGAAGAAGAACGTCTTCTTTAAACACTTCTATCTGAAGTTTATGCTTAGAATTTTATCCAGAACGATCAACACAAGTTTCATAGATAAACTCTTCAGTCCTAAGCAAAAAGGAGTATCATTGATCTAATGTATAAAAAAAACTCTCTCCACCTTGATATAAACCACCATTAATCATGTTCTTTTTTAAAACAACCAACCAATCTACTGCTCAACACCATCATCTTATATAAACTCTTATTAAGTTCCTTGTTTGATGCTGTCGTTGTCGTTGTTGTTGTTGTCGTTGTTGTGGTCATTGCTGCTGCTGTTGTTGTTATGACTACACTAAGTTTAGTTATTCGGTTAACTCATGATATTATTCTAATGGATAAATATCAACAAAACGTTTGTCTGTAATATGAAACCAATATGTATGTGACAATTGGACTATAACAAAAAGTGATTAAAAGTAAAATCTTAAATAGAATCACTTTGACTTCGTTCTAAGGTCAAAGGTCATTGACATTATCAGATAAGAATATGAATGTTTCACACACCTCACCACCACCACCACCACCACCATGATTTATCATGTAAAACTATATCGATTTAGACCATACAAACTAATCATTTGTCAATCAAAAAACGATTACACCTTGAATCAATCTTAAAGAGAATGGAAATTCAGAAGATTATTAACAAAGTAATGGTGAAGATTTAATTAAGCTAATGAAATCAAGTTAGTATAAAGTATAAAGTACAATTAGACTATTACTCACAATACTGCGACTACTACGACGACTACGACCACCACTACTACTACTACTACGACGACGACGACCACTACTACTACTACTACTAGTACTACTACTACTACTACGACGACGACGACGACGACGACCACTACTACTACTACTACTACTACTACTACTACTACTACTACTACCACTAATCCTCCTGCTACTACTACTAATACTACTACTACTACTACTACTACTACTGCTGCTACTACTACTACTACTGCTGCTGCTACTACTACTACTACTACTACTACGACGACGACGACGACGACGACCACTACTACTACTACTACTACTACTACTACTACTACTACTACTACTACTACTACTACTGCTACTACTACTACTACTACTGCTGCTGCTACTACTACTACTACTACTACTACTACTACTACTACCACTACTACTACTACCACTACTACTACTACTACTACTACTACTACTACTGCTACTACTACTACTACTACTGTCGAAATATTTTATCTTTCTCGCTATTAATGACTGTACGCTTATTTCGACTCTAATTCTGTTCAGCTGAGTGATATTATCACGTCATTTTCACATGGTTAATTAAATTGAATCTATATACATTTGTGTCTAGCTGTATATTAACTATACTTGATTGATTATTTGTTTTTTATTTATTATTTATTATTATTATTGTTGTTGTTTTTGTTGTTCGATTAGCGATTAGTTTGCGTGATTTCATTGTTATTTTATACTAACCTTAATCATAACTTATACTTTCACAACATCATTAATTTTACTTGTTTAAATAATGAAAATTCATTTGAACAGTTGAGATCATGAGTCGATTGAAACTAAACCAACATGGAAAACTTGCAAGTACTGGGCGGTCGCTTTGTTCAATCACATGACTCCTCGACAGTGAGCATCCACGATCTCACCTCGCGAAAGTCGAACCCAGCATTCGCTCGCGTGTGAGCGAACGCCTAACCTCTAAACCACTTAGCTGCTGGCATCCAACGTTGTTATTGTCTACCTTCAACTAATCCATGAAATTCACCGACACATCCATCATTGTCTTCAGTGAGTGACTATCTCACAACAGATCTAGTTGAACTGCATTGATCACTTCTTCTCACTAGAACTCCAGGATATACCTTTTGAATTCAGTCATTAATGAACATATGCTGATTCATATCAAAAGGGGTTATTTTTCAATATTATAGTAATATTAATAGCTAAAATCATCATTCAATTCGTGTGAGATGTACAATAAATCACTCTTCTTTTTTTTTTTTAAATAAAGCTTTAATTCATGCGGTTAAATTGTTTGTGTTTGGTTTCTATGACTTAAATCTTTAATAAATCTTATCAATACAAGTGAACTACCTTACTCTCTTAATAATCAGAAGAAGAATTGACTTGTTTAAATCAAAACTTTCCATTACAACTTTATTGTCATCAATAATTAAATATTTCTTCTCTTTCTTTTACTTTCGTTTTTGTTTGATAACGATAAATG